CATTTGTACATGTCTGCCTCGTCTGTATAAATGTGACCTGCGAGACAACGTCTTTATATAATCTTACAAATTCATACACTGCGCTTTTTTGTTTAGCATGTCTAACACGATTGTATGGAGCAAATCGTGAGAAAACTACGACGAAGATCAGGATACAATATTGTGAATTAGATATCACGAGAATGATTGACAATATCTGTGTTTAGTTCGGTAGCAAGGTTTTCAATCAGGCTGTTGGCATGCCTATTGGCACAAAGTGTGCCCTTGTCACTTTGCCGATTTGCTTTGTTTTCATATGGGGTTATATTTATTGCAGAGCTGATCAGGATAGGTAACGAAGACCTTGCCAAGTCCACTTCTAATTATATCGACGATGTGTTTTCTTTAAGTAACAAGATATGTATCGACAACGTCGATCGTATATATCCCTTCCTGAGCTTAACCCCCCAAAGACACCACAGACTCCTCAATGCAACCTCTGCCGCTTACCTAGACATTTATTACAACATGACCAAAATGAGCAGCTTATCACAAAGCTGTTCAGATTTTGATATTTTGTAAGTGAACTTTCCCTTTCTTGACAGTAAATTCCTAATCTAAAGTGTATTCATGTCACAGTTGATTCGATATGCATTGGCATGCTTCAAATATCATGATTTTCGTGCTACATTTGTACAATTTGTAATATAGAATGATGTTTGAAAAACTAATAACACACAAAAGACAAGGTTACCAGAGTTAGCCATTTTAATAGATATATAACCGATACATGTATTTCCGTTTTCTTATGCCATTTATTATAGGATAGAATTTTACGTGTCTCTTCAAGTTTGTTTAAAGGATTCTCTATATATTATTATCAAATTGGCGGCCTTTCGGTTGGTTACACATCAATTTTGATAACCTTTTATAGGGGATAGATTATCAAATATCCAGATAGGCATCCTTCGATATTTGGTTGACTTGATATGGGCAATATTAAATCATTGCTATGAAGAAGACGGATTTAATTATCATAAGTATGATATATTATCAGCGACACAAAGCACCAAACTCAGCGTTAGGCCATTATTATTATTATCATAACTATGGCATTTCCCTATGTTTATAGGCACATTAAGACGGCTGATACTGAAAATAAACATTGTATACTGCGTATCACCGGGGAAATTGAAAATGAAAAAGGTGTTCACAGAAATAGGCGGTTATTTGTGTACCTTTCAAAGATAATGAAAAATCAATGAATTCTTGACCTCTTAGCACTTGTTTCTCTGTATCTATCCGACCAAATGTTTCAGTTTCCTTTGATGTCCGTATGGTCAGGTATCGTGTATTCAATTTGTCTACAATAATTAGCCAGTGAACTTGTTAGAAGCTATGGACATCGGATAGATCAATCAAACACGAAAAAGAATATCAAAGGACATTGGTTTTCTATGAGTAAGTCATGGGATAAAACGCGAGGAAAACATCAATTACATCCATTACTCTCTCTTACCTGCATCAAAGGTAAACACGCGACAAAGACATCAATCACAGCTGTATGTCTAGGTTACCTGTCACACAGGTAAATAAATAGGTACTCGATAGTTTATAGATTTGTTTTAAGTAATGCAACACGTGTAAAATGATGTTGTCTCCAATAGGTAAAACAGGCTCTTCATGTCACGTGGTCACGAAACAATCTGTTGAAACAGGTTGAAGATACAGGACGTCTACCTTAATAAATCCTATATTCTCTTCTTTAAGAATTCCTTACTTAATTTTATTAAATGTCTTTATGGACACAAATATAACTTGCTATTCAATACGTTGTAATTACATTTTTTAATTCAAACACTGTTTACGTTTACATTAACATTCAACGTCTTTTTAATCTAAGCTTAATACGTGTATGTAGAACCTTTTGCGTGTCTGCATTGATCAGGATCAGGTGCTAAAAGCTATTTTTGATTACGACGGAACTAACTCGAAATTAAATTACCGTATTTTCCACGACTTGATCTATTCGGTATATCGATAGGTCTTGTACCTTTACCATCTTATTGATTAACTAACGCGAGAGTTCTTCTGATATATCAGTTACCTCCCTTCGTAATCGCTCTCTCAATGACAGCCGACGGCATCCGAGAACGCGAAGAGTACATACATGCGAGGATAACACAAACAACGTAGGTCTTTTATGTGTAGTTTGCAAAAATCGAAGTGAGATTACTATGTTGACATCATAATCTTTATAGGAGACACGGGCTGATTAAAACTCCAAAAGCAGGAGAAAGAAATTGGTGTACTTTGATTTTGTTTATGTACAAATAGATCATTTAATTCCGATGCCTCACACTTTTGATTATAATGGAACTTATCGATCATGTTAAAGAAAAGCTACTGTATCTATTTTAGACAGCAAAACGCTTCACAGTTGTGACTAGAGTCCTTGTGTTGTCGATTGCGTGCAGTTTTGAAATGAGTTGGCCGTGAGACAAGGATTACATGCAAAACTGTTCATGATGAGTTTGTCTCAAGACCATCTCAATTACTCTCCCCGTGAGATCGCCCAAGGCCATGTTCAAATCTTATATCTTCGCCTATCGAATCTTTTTAATACTACCTTTCTTTAAACCTTTGAAATGAAACCGCATACAATTTAATTATGTCATAAATAGTGTCAAATACAAGTTAACAATCCAATTGAAAGCAAACAAAACAGACCCATTCTGCTTTTTAACAACATTCTTCGTTAGATTTAATCATGTCAATTCACTTTGATATATCACATGGCGAACGTAAAGCTCATTGAAAAAGCTGACTTGGGGAGTTGAATCCAGAACATGTCATTCATTATGTCAACAAAGAAACCCGTCGTTAAATCTTCGGGCATCTTCGGGCATTTCCGCGGTCTTGGGTCTGTGCTTCTTACTCAAGGGAGGCAATCCCTTGTTACTCGTAATATTGGTGATAAGCTTAAGTCTACTTTATTGACTGTAATATGTAATTGAAAGTTCAAGGCGAATCGTATCTGATATCCAGGAAGAATAAAATGTTCCCTGCGGAATCTTGTCATTTATCCGGGAAGGATTAAAGGTTCCCAAAGGAAATGATATTAAGAATGTCCAATGAATCAGTCCATAAGTGAGAAGGTTACAGTTTACGTGAAATAGTTTGGTTTTAGTTTTATTTTGTTGAACGTCCTATTAACAACTAAGGTCATTTAAGGACGTGCCTCCGTGTATGTTGTTCAAGCGTGCATGTATATGTGACAGAGACGGGGTACGTTTGTGTACTGTTGGCTTCCATTTACATCAGCAGTTTACTCTAAATATAACCTGGTGGGAACAATCCATTCTACTACAGTACTTGATATTTTAACTCGGTGAACAACACTAGTAGATATTTGCATTCAGTGTGCCACAGAAATCGAGATTTTGACTCGAGTGTAATCTTTAAGTCACTAGATTTAAACTCATTACGAGGTTTGAATCTCTGTAATCCGGATATCACACACGAAATGTGTCACTCGACGTTTTGCCCGACAGCTGCCCGACCGCTTGGGTTTTCTTCGGGTACTCCCGTTTCCTCCCACATAAAGACCCTCCGCGTGCAAACATCCGAACCAACAACAGTGATTAGTATAAGTTGTAATCATCTGTTTCATAAATCTTGTAAACTAACAGTTTATTTCTTAGAACTCTATAGCCTGAATAGGTATTGATAGGTGTTTTTTTAATGATGTACAGTATAACAGACGTCTGACTAAAAGGGAAACAAATTATTGATTACACATCCGTTGGTTGTCTCAGGGACAGTATATTATACGTCCCTGGTTGTCTACAATCTTTGAAAGACCTATTTTACACTGACACAGAAAAATGTCAATAGTCTATTTACTTAACGCCTTATCATTTCCAATCTCAGAGATATGTATCGATGGCTGATAGCGTTACATGAACACTGTCTAAAATAGGCAAAGTCTGTTTTACAATTAGGGATCCCTGTCCCGATACAGGAAAAAACACTAGAGCGAGTTCCACTGTATTTTTCCGTACATAGAGTAACCTCCCTTTTATACTATTTTGGGTATACCTATAGCCCGATTATAGGCCGAGAACTACCCCGTTGACTTGGTTGTTCAGCTGGTTAGTGACAGCACGGAATTAGATTAGTCATCTAAATCCGTGGTGACAGTTTAATGATCCATGGCAGCGGTTCGAATCCTGATCGAGCCCCGTTGCTTGTTTTTTCGCTCAAAATAATGTTGTTGATTATATTTCATTTATCTCATCTTTTTTCTTTTCGTAAAAGTCCTGCAAGTACAGCAGCCGGAACATGTCACCAAGAGAAGAAAATGGTTTTTTTTTGTAAATACGACTTACTTTATATCTCATAATAATGACCAGCTTATTGCGTAATGACAAGATCGATATGTTATTATTAAGAGATAGCTAAGTCTTTATTACGACTTAGTAGGTCGTTATAACGACATTAATGTGTCGTTAATATGACATAGTTATCTCTAAATAACGACATACGTGTAGCTATCTCCAAGTTAATAGCATGATAATGTGTCCAGGACATTTCAGTGTGTCGGCACTTACTGTATCTGGTCTGTGAGTTGACCTTTTTGCCGATGGACACCGTCGTCATTCCGCCATATTTTATTGCAACAGTGTTTAACCAAATTAACCATCCAACTAACCACCTAATCAATACATCCATGTATCAACTATACATTTATCAATCAATGGTGATTCATGTGGTCATCCTTACCGGTTAAAAAGAGTCATTTCAGGCGTAATGTTTGAGTTCTGTCTTCGACTCAAAAATGGTCAGGCGTAACGGGAGATAACTCAAATTAGGAGATCATACTTAAATTCATATTGCATTTGATTCGGCTATCAATACTGACTGATTGTTTTTAAAAATGATTGTAAATTAATTACAATTGAATGCCATACGCATTTATATATTTTAAACAATTTTATTTTTCTTATGTATATTTCCAGGATGACAATAAGACGGAGACGGATCCATGTGTCGCTTGGAAATATGGCAGTGACAGTTATAACGGGTCAGGATTCAACGCATCGGCAGATAACAACTGCAGCAAAACTTTTGATTTATCAACCATAATCTTAAATAACCAGAGCCTTACATGGATCAACGGCAGAGGTTCACTAGGCCATGACTTTTTCACCTATTTTACTCCTGTAATTTTCACTATTGGGCTCGTAGGGAACATTCTGTCACTCAGGGTGTTCCTGACAAAGAACATGCGCAAACTCTCCGCAAGTGTTTATCTCGCCGCTCTTTCAGTGGCTGATCTAATGGCGCTTTGTTTCTATGTCTTGACGGAGTGGATTAGGCGGGGGATTCCCGTTGAAAGTGGTCAAGTGACAGCGCCGTTTCTTGAACAAAATGGCGTGTGTCAGATCCTGGTTTACCTGCAATACATTTCGCGTTTTCTCTGCGCGTGGCTCGTAGCGTGTTTCACACTTGAGCGTTATATCGGTGTATGCCATCCACTCAAGCGAAAAGATATCTGTGACGTCAGATCATCCAGGAAAATCGTGTTCACGCTGATCATCACGGCGTTCATCGTCTGCTCCTTTAAACCCTTCTTGAGCGAGTCTGTCGTGGCGGGAAACTACAACGCGCCAACCTGTACGCGCAGTCAGGCCCACGCGGATCTGTCGTTCGTGTTCGATTGCGTGTTCGGAGTATCGATCACGTTTCTGCCTTTCGTCATAATCACTGTACTCAACGCCTTCATCATCCGGAAGTTGTTGATTCGGAACAAACGACACCGGGAGTGCAAGGTAATAACGGAGGAAAGCATCATCCGTCTGGAGTTCACATTTATCCTCATAGCTATATCCTTCTGTTTTATAGCTTTTAACGTTCCGTACTCCGTCGTGTGGTACAAGCTCTTCGTTCTGTCCCGTGACAGATTCGAAAAATTCAACTTCCTAGACACACAAGATCTGCTCAACTTTACTCGGACGATTTTTTACATTAACTATTGTATCAACTTTTTCCTGTATAGCATCACCGGAGCCTATTTCCGGAAAGAGCTCAAAATGTTGTTCACCTATAAAAGTAAAGCGTATCAGAATTATCATCGCTGTTCTGTGCATAATTCAAACTCCAACACACCCCAGTCATGGCTGTGAACAGATCGGAACCGGAAATACAAATTATAAGGTCCGGATGTACATACTATACATAGGAGAAAAATAAACCGACTGACGGACCGGATATTGAAAGGCGTGTATATACGGATGTTATCATCAATTCTAGCATATTTTGTTGATGTTATTCAGGACTAAATGTCCTTGCCTTTTATCTTACTTGTTTTTAATGGAGATTGGAATCTATTACCATGTTCAGACGTTGTAATGTTTGTATCTATATTATATTAAATTATTGTAAGCTACTTCCTTTTCATTTATCTTTTATTTTTTTGTCCGATTATCTTTATAGAATGGTTGACAGAAATACACCTGACAAAAGGAACAACGACTGCTTTGATCATATAATTTGATCTCCACAATCTCACTACCGTACACGTTATTATATCAAATTTTACTTTTGTTTATGTCAGACACACAACACCATATTTAAACATTAAATAATGTGATATCAATTTTGTTCGTTTTTATTGGAAAATAACGGTGGCATATTCCTACTATCGACTTTCGACTAACGAGTAACCTACGTCGGCATATTTTTTTAAAAGATGACGACATTGTCTATGAATATGTCGCAATAACGTTAACATAATGTCGACATATTTCCACATTTAACGAGATGATTATCACTTAAGTAGGTAACTCGGTTTTTTATCATGTAAATGTACAGTTGTGACATTGACTTGCCACTTTGTTAACCAATATTATCACGTGACCGATATTGATGATATATAAAACCTTAATTAAGCCTAAATCTACTTATTAGGAGCTTTTATTACATCACGACGTGACACCATTTTGTTTATATATAAATATAAATTGTGCTTATCAATCTAAATATTCTACCTTTAATAGTTGATTCTAATTGATGTGGAAATACAGTGATCATAACATTCGAACAGAAATGTTGTGTATTCTATGAAAACACACACTGTTATTAAAATTAATAGATGATATTCATTTTTGATGATAAGGATATTTTTAAATCCATATCATGAATTATTTTAATCTGCATAACGTTATATACTACTGCATGATTTGGTTATTTTTGTGATGTCACTAACCATATATTTTAAATATACATATATCTACACGTCTTTACATGTTATTCACACTGACTGTGTCTGGTAAAGTGTTCTTTTCGTCCTGTCTTCCATATGCACGCCTTTCTTTATCCGTCTACTGTCTTGTCTCTTGCTAAAGCTGTACTGTATATAACTATCTACACTGTGTATATATGTGTGTGTATGTATGTCCAATCAATCAGATTTTACCTTGCAGAGAAAAGGGGAACCAAAACAAAAATTATTCTCCGTGTCGAACCAGGCATATTTAACATCCAAACAGAGAATGGGATATGACCCTCAGAACGTCAGCACTCCTTGTAAAGCAAGAGCTAGTATTGGACACCAGCAAAACAAGTTAAATAAAAGCAAGCACCAAACGCCAGCAAAACCAGGAAATGTAAGCTAGCACTTAACACTAGCAGACCCTGTAAATATAAGCTAGCACTAAGCGCAAACAAACTCTGTAAGTATAAGTTAGAACAAATCTCAAGCAAACTCTGTAAATATAAGTTAGAACAAATCTCAAACAAACCCTGTAAATACAGGCTAGCACTGAACGCAAGCAAAACCTGTAAATATAAGCTAGCACTGAACGCAAGCAACTCCTATTAATATAACCTAGCACTGAACGCAAGCAAAACCTGTAAATATAAGCTAACACTGAACACTAGCAGACCCTGTACATATGCGCTAGCACTGAACACTAGTAGACTCTGTAAATATAAGCTAGCACTGAACGCTAGTAAACTCTGTTAATATAAGCTAACACTGAACACTAGCAGACCCTGTACATATAAGCTAGCACTGAACGCAAGCAAAACCTGTAAATATAAGCTAGCACTGAACGCAAGCAAATCCTGTAAATATAAGCTAGCAATTAACGTAAGCAAATCCTGTAAATATAAGCTAGAACTCAACGCCAGCAAATCCTGTAAATATATGCTAGCACTGAACGCAAGCAAAACCTGTAAATATAAGCTAGCATTGAACGCAAGCAAATCCTGTAAATATAAGCTAGCACTGAACGCAAGCAAATCCTATAAATATAAGCTAGCACTGAACGCAAGCAAAACCTGTAAATATAAGCTAGCACTGAACGCAACTCCTATTAATAGAAGCTAGCACTGAACGCAAGCAAAACCTATAAATATAAGCTAACACTGAACACTAGCAGACCCTGTACATATGCGCTAGCACTGAACACTAGTAAACTCTGTAAATATAAGCTAGCACTGAACGCTAGTAAACTCTGTCAATATAAGCTAACACTGAACACTAGCAGACCCTGTACATATAAGCTAGCACTGAACGCAAGCAAAACCTGTAAGTATATGCTAGCACTGAACGCAAGCAAAACCTGTAAATATAAGCTAGCAATGAACGCAAGCAAATCCTGTAAATATAAGCTAGCACTGAACGCAAGCAAATCCTGTAAATATAAGCTAGCAATTAACGCAAGCGAATCCTGTAAATATAAGCTAGGACTGAACGCAAGCAAATCCTGTAAATATAAGCTAGCACTGAACGCAAGCAAATCCTGTAAATATAAGCTAGGACTCAACGCCAGCAAATCCTGTAAATATATGCTAGCACGGAACGCAAGCAAATCCTGTAAATATAAGCTAGCAATGAACGCAAGCAAATCCTGTAAATATAAGCTAGCACTGAATGCAAGCAAATCTTGAAAATATAAGCTAGCACTGAACGCAAGAAAATCCTGTAGATATAAGCTAACACTGAACACTAGCAGACCCTGTAAATATAATCTAGCACTGAACACTAGCAGACCCTGTACATATAAGCTAGCACAAAACGCCAACAAACTCTGCAAATATAAGCCAACACTGAACACTAGGAAACTCTGTAAATATAAGCTAACACTGAACACTAGCAGACCCTGTGAATATAAGCTCGCACTGAAAACTAACAGACCCTGTAAATATAAGCTAACACTGAACGCCAGTAAGCTAGAACAAATCTCAACCAGAACCTGTAAACATAATCAAACACTGATCGCCAGCAACCCCTCTACATATAAGCTAGCACAGAACGCAGCAACTCCTCTACGTATAAGCTAGCACTGAACGCTAGTAAACTCTGTAAATATAAGCTAGCACTGAACACTAGCAGAACTTGTAAAACAGGAGCTAGAACAAATCTCAAGCAAATCATGTAAATATAAGCTAGAACAAATCTCATGCAAATCCTGTAAATATAAGCTAGAACAAATCTCAACCAAAACCTGTAAACATAATCAAGCACTGACCGCCAGCAACCCCTCTACATATAAGCTAGCACTGAACACAACAACTCCTCTACATATAAGCTAGCACTGAACGCAACAACTCCTCTACAAATAAGCTAGCACTGAACGCAACAACTCCTCTACATATAAGCTAGCACTGGACGCAACAACTCCTCTACATATAAGCTAGCACTGAACTCAACAACTCCTCTACATATAAGCTAGCACTGAACGCAACAACTCCTCTACAAATAAGCTAGCACTGAACGCAACAACTCCTCTACATATAAGCTAGCACTGAACGCAACAACTTCTCTACATATAGGCTAGCACTGAACGCTAGAAGACCCTGTACTTATCAGCTAGCACTGAACGCTAGCAATCTCTGTAAATTTAAGCTAGAACACATATCAAACAAATCCTGTAAATATAAGCTAGAATAAATCTCAAGCAAAACCTTTAAACATAATCAAGCACTGACCGCTAGCAACCACTCTACATATAAGCTAGCACTGAACGCGACAACTCCTTTACATATAAGCTGCTAGCAGGCACTGTACATATAAGCTAGCACTGAACGCTAGTAAACTCTGTACATTTAAGCTAGCACTGAACGCTAGTAAACACTGTAAATACAAGCTAGCACTGAACGTCAGTAAACTCTGTAAAACAGGAGCTGGTACAGAACTCCAGGAAACCATTTAAACAGGAGCTAACACAGAACGCAAATAAACCATGTAAAACAAGAGCTAACACAGAAAGCCAGTAAACCATATAAAACAGGAGCTAACACAGAACGTCAGTAAACCATGTAAAACAGGAGCCTACACAGAGCACCAATAAATCATGTAAAACAGGAGCTATAACAGAACGCCAGTAAACCATGTAAAACAAGAGTTAGTACAGAACGCCAGTAAACCGTGTAAAACAGGAGTTAGTACAGAACGCCAGTAAACCATGTAAAACAGGAGCTTACACAGAACGCCAGTAAACCATGTAAAACAGGAGCTAACACAGAACGCAAGTAAACCATGTTAAACAGGAGCTAGCACAGAACGCCAGTAAACTATGTAAAACAGGAGCTAACACAGAACTTCAGTGAACCATATAAAACAGGAGCTAGTACAGAACGCCAGTTAACCATGTAAAACAAGAGCTAACACAGAACGTAAGTAAACCATGTTAAACAATGGCTAACACAAAACGCCAGTGAACCATGTAAAATAGGAGCTAACACAGAACGCCAGTAAACCATGTAAAACAGGAGCTAACACAGAACGCCAGTAAACCATGTAAAACAGGAGCTAGTACAAAACGCCAGTAAACCATGTAAAATAGGAGCTGGTACAGAACGCCAGGAAACGAAGTAAAACAGAAGCTAACACAAAACGCCAGTAAACCATGTAAAACAGGAGCTGGTACAGAATGCCAGTAAACCATATAAAACAGGAGCTAGTACAGAACGCCAGTAAACCATGTAAAATAGAATCTAACACAGAACGTCAGTAAACCATGCAAAACGAGAGCTAACACAGAACTTCAGTAAACCATGTAAAACAAAAGCTAACACAGAACGCCAGTAAACCGTGTAAAACAGGAGCTGGTACAGAACGCCAATAAACCATGTAAAACAGGAGCTAACACAGAACGCCAGTAAACCATGTAAAACAAGAGCTTACACAGAACGCCAGTAAACCATGTAAAACAAGAGCTAACGCAGAACGCCAGTAAACCATATAAAACAAGAGCTTACACAGAACGCCAGTAAACCATGTAAAACAAGAGCTTACACAGAACGCCAGTAAACCATGTAAAACAAGAGGTGGTACAGAACGCAAGAAACTATTTCAAGCAGACAGCTAGACAACCATGTAAAACATAACTAGAACAGGGCCGAAAATTACTTACGATCTTTACAATATTCTTCCTTATGCAGATAGTTTTTAGAACATTTGTGTCTTTTTAATACCAAGTAATCACATATATCAAATGGTGTACAGTATGTAGAACCTGATCGATGCAACTGAATATCCACGGGGTTAAGGTTAGCGTGTGAAGGATTTAGAGGTTAGTATATGATTATTTTTTATCACACCCTTCATGAGCCTGATATCAGCCCGATGACCGAAGGCCTGAGCGTTGACATCAGATCAAAGACTGATAAGGGGTATGATATCAAACTAGTCATATCATAACCTTATCTGAAAAACAATTAAAAAAAAAACAATTCAACAACGCCGGAAACCGAAGCGTCTAAACGTAAAACTAAAATCCTAAATGAAGAACCCGGATCGGCAACGCAAACAAAACGTGTATCACATGGGCAAAATGTATCTCATTAGAGTTAAGAGTGTTATAACATTCATTTTTGCTATATAGCTATATGCAGGCTTAAAACAGGTTTTTCTTAGTGCTGCCTTGAAATAATACCCCTAAATATTACATTATTATTACGGTCCAGTACCCCGTACTCCTGGATTCCAGCTATAATACACGTTACATGTAACCATTCACTGCAGCAACGGTTGATCCTTTGGGAACCGCCATATTAAACACCAGTGTCATAATTTGAATGCAGAGGGAAACACGAATGAATGACAACACGATATGCGATCGAAGTTTGTCTTTTACACTAACAGTGAATGAATCCTTATTTTGCGAGCTTTCTAAAACGTCCGGTTCCTTTGTCAAACAAAGAGTGCAAATGGCCGGCGATGCCAAGGAGACTATATTCACTAAACAGACGAGTTGAAAATGAAATACTGTCCTAGCATTGGTCGTTGACCTCAGAACATTTCTCGAACTCATACAAAACTAATGGTTAATTCTGACACGATGATTATCATATTTTTGTCTCACTTCAAAGACAATTCTTTACCTTTCTCCGTCGCACAGAGCTTAACATTGCTTCTGAACAATACTATTTGTTCTGCTAAGTCCGCTGTTTTATTTTTCTTAGTGCTGCCTTGAAATAATAACCCGAAAAATTACATTATTATCATGGTCCAGTAACCCGTATACCTGGATCCCCACTATATTACACAGAAACGAAAAATCTCTGTTCACGAGGTTTATTTTGTTCATTTTAAAATACAGAAATAATATCATTTCTATTCATACAAAGTGGTCCAATGGTTTGATACACATTCTATAAAAAAAACAAATCCCTACATGATACACGTTAAATGGATTGTATAAGTTATAGAAGGTTTAGGCAGGAAGATTCCTGTTACTGTAAACCTGTCTTAAGGTTATAGCTAATTTATCATGTCGCAACCCTTCCTATATATTAAACCTCTGAAGAGAGATCGGCTGTGATAACCTTAACTGTTGTTCTAGTATAGAAAGAGAGCTCGGCTGTGATAACCTTAACCGTTGTTATAGTATAGAAAGAGAGCTCGGCTGTGATAACCTTAACTGTTGTTCTAGTAAAGAAAGAGAGATCGGCTGTGATAACCTTAACTGTTGTTCTAGTATAGAAAGAGAGCTCGGCTGTGTTAACCTTAACAGTTGTTCTAGTATAGAAAGAGAGCTCGGCTGTTATAACCTTAACCGTTGTTCTAGTATAGAAAGAGAGCTCGGCTGTGTTAACATTAACAGTTGTTCTAGTATAGAAAGAGAGCTCGGCTGTGTTAACATTAACAGTTGTTCTAGTATAGAAAGAGAGCTCGGCTGTAATGACCTTTACTGTTGTTCTAGTATAAAAAGAGAGCTCGGCTGTGATAACCTTAACAGTTGTTCTAGTATAGAAAGAGAGCTTGGCTGTGATAACCTTAACTGTTGTTCTTGTATAGAAAGAGAGCTCGGCTGTGATAACCTTAACCGTTGTTCTAGTATAGCAAGAGAGCTCGGCTGGGATAACCTTAACCGTTGGTCTAGTATAGAAAGATAGCTCGGCTGTGATAAGGCTGTAATGACCTTAACTGTTGTTATTGTATAGAAAGAGAGCTCGTCTGTGATAACCTTAACAGTTGTTCTAGTATAGAAAAAGAGCTCGGCTGTGATAACCTTAATTGTTGTTCTAGTATAGAAAGAGAGCTCGGCTGTGATAACCTTAACTGTTGTTCTAGTATAGAAAGAGAGCTCGGCTGTGATAACCTTAACTGTTGTTCTAGTATAGAAAGAGAGCTCGGCTGTGATAACCTTAACTGTTGTTCTAGTATAGAAAGAGAGCTCGGCTGTGATAACCTTAACTGTTGTTCTAGTATAGAAAGAGAGCTCGGCTGTGATAACCTTAACTGTTGTTCTAGTATAGAAAGAGAGCTCGGCTGTGATAACCTTAACTGTTGTTCTAGTATAGAAAGAGAGCTCGGCTGTGATAACCTTAACTGTTGTTCTAGTATAGAAAGAGAGCTCGGCTGTGATAACCTTAACTGTTGTTCTAGTATAGAAAGAGAGCTCGGCTGTGATAACCTTAACTGTTGTTCTAGTATAGAAAGAGAGCTCGGCTGTGATAACCTTAACTGTTGTTCTAGTATAGAAAGAGAGCTCGGCTGTGATAACCTTAACTGTTGTTCTAGTATAGAAAGAGAGCTCGGCTGTGATAACCTTAACTGTTGTTCTAGTATAGAAAGAGAGCTCGGCTGTGATAACCTTAACTGTTGTTCTAGTATAGAAAGAGAGCTCGGCTGTGATAACCTTAACTGTTGTTCTAGTATAGAAAGAGAGCTCGGCTGTGATAACCTTAACTGTTGTTCTAGTATAGAAAGAGAGCTCGGCTGTGATAACCTTAACTGTTGTTCTAGTATAGAAAGAGAGCTCGGCTGTGATAACCTTAACTGTTGTTCTAGTATAGAAAGAGAGCTCGGCTGTGATAACCTTAACTGTTGTTCTAGTATAGAAAGAGAGCTCGGCTGTGATAACCTTAACTGTTGTTCTAGTATAGAAAGAGAGCTCGGCTGTGATAACCTTAACTGTTGTTCTAGTATAGAAAGAGAGCTCGGCTGTGATAACCTTAACTGTTGTTCTCGTATAGAAAGAGAGCTCGGCTGTGATAACCTTAACTGTTGTTCTAGTATAGAAAGAGAGCTCGGCTGTGATAACCTTAACTGTTGTTCTAGTATAGAAAGAGAGCTCGGCTGTGATAACCTTAACTGTTGTTCTAGTATAGAAAGAGAGCTCGGCTGTGATAACCTTAACTGTTGTTCTAGTATAGAAAGAGAGCTCGGCTGTGATAACCTTAACTGTTGTTCTAGTATAGAAAGAGAGCTCGGCTGTGATAACCTTAACTGTTGTTCTAGTATAGAAAGAGAGCTCGGCTGTGATAACCTTAACTGTTGTTCTAGTATAGAAAGAGAGCTCGGCTGTGATAACCTTAACTGTTGTTCTAGTATAGAAAGAGAGCTCGGCTGTGATAACCTTAACTGTTGTTCTAGTATAGAAAGAGAGCTCGGCTGTGATAACCTTAACTGTTGTTCTAGTATAGAAAGAGAGCTCGGCTGTGATAACCTTAACTGTTGTTCTAGTATAGAAAGAGAGCTCGGCTGTGATAACCTTAACTGTTGTTCTCGTATAGAAAGAGAGCTCGGCTGTGATAACCTTAACTGTTGTTCTAGTATAGAAAGAGAGCTCGGCTGTGATAACCTTAACTGTTGTTCTAGTAAAGAAAGAGAGATCGGCTGTGATAACCTTAACTGTTGTTCTAGTATAGAAAAAAAGAGATCGGCTGTGATAACCTTAACCGTTGTTCTAGTATAGAAAGGGAGCTCGGCTGTGATAACCTTAACTGTTGTTCTAGTATAGAAAGAGAGCTCGGCTGTGTTAACCTTAACAGTTGTTCTAGTATAGAAAGAGAGCTCGGCTGTGATAACCTTAACTGTTGTTCTAGTATAGAAAGAGAGCTCGGCTGTGATGACCTTAACTGTTGTTCTAGTAAAGAAAGAGAGATCGGCTGTGATAACCTTAACTGTTGTTCTAGTAAAGAAAGAGAGCTCGGCTGTGATAACATTAACTGTTGTTCTAGTATAGAAAAAGAGAGGTCGGCTGTGATAACCTTAACCGTTGTTCTAGTATAGAAAGGGGCTCGGCTGTGTTAACCTTTATTGTTGTTCTAGTATAGAAAGAGAGCTCGGCTGTGATAACCTTAACTGTTGTTCTAGTATAGAAAGAGAGCTCGGCTGTGATGACCTTAACTGTTGTTCTAGTAAAGAAAGAGAGCTCGGCTGTGATAACCTTAACTGTTGTTCTAGTAAAGAAAAAGAGAGGTCGGCTGTGATAACCTTAACCGTTATTCTAGTATAGAAAGGGGCTCGGCTGTGTTAACCTTTACTGTTGTTGTAGTATAGAAAGAGTGCTCGGCTGTGATAACCTTAACTGTTGTTCTAGTATAGAAAGAGAGGTCGGCTGTGATAACCTTAACCGTTATTCTAGTATAGAAAGGGGCTCGGCTGTGTTAACCTTTACTGTTGTTGTAGTATAGAAAGAGAGCTCGGCTGTGATACCCTTAACTGTTGTTCTAGTATAGAAAGAGAGATCGTCTGTGATAACCTTAACTGTTTTTCTAGTATAGAAAGGGAGCTCGGCTGTGATAACCTTAACTGTTGTTCTAGTATAAAAAGAGAGCTCGTCTGTGATAACCTTAACTGTTTTTTCTAGTATACTATGAATGTAGGTGCGCACGTACTAAAGACAAGGACAAGCTTCATGAAAATTTTCCCTAGATACGCAAGAACATCACTACGGAAAAAAATGCATTCTCCATAAGAACAACAGCAGTATGAAACAATTTGCCTGATCACATAGTAACCGCAAACTCACTTAATAGCTTCAAAAACAGACTTGATGACTACTGGAACGGACAGGAAGTAAAGTACTACAAAGGGTCAATACGTGTAACAACCGAAAGTGAAATATTAAAAATTATTCCTAAAATATAATTTAATTTATCATATGAAGACATACGCCATATTCAGTAGTTTAAAAATGTTGTGTACAATATTCCTGATATTTGCGTCTTTGTTTCTGAGCATGAGAGTTATTTCCCTTTATTCGGAATTTAGAGTTATCGTTCTTTACCATTTCCTTTGAGCAGCCATCACGAGTATTCAGAAACCTTTAAGCCTTTTTAATCCCACCCTCCCTTCCCATTATTTTACGATTTCCTTCTGCTGTGTGTCTGCCTGTTATATATTCGCAGAAAGTTCCTTCCACTTGTCAAGACTTCGACCACTATGTTGGAGGTGCAGGACGATTTTTTCCTGGACAAAAGACTGCTGCCATGTGTTCATTACAGTTGTGCAAATTCGAGACTTTGGACAATTTTTATGCAAAAGTGTCAGCTTTTGAGTTTGGGGGAATATCCTGGTCCCAGTTTCCTCCATCTTTTTGGCTGTCGCAGCTGATTTTATCTTCGACAACAGATTGCTGTTGATTTTTTACAGACTTGTAAGTTAAGTCTTATTGAAATTTATAGTCAAATAGTTTCAGCTATTGAGTTTGGGGGAATATCCTGGTCCCAGTTTCCTCCATCTTTCTAGCTGTCGTAAGGTCGAAGTACTTGGCCATTATTCGCCACAACTTACTCAGTATATATAATTAATTAAAACCAAACAGTGAAATTAATTTTCGGTCTTTGTTATTATTTGATATGCTTCTATTTGATAAATAATTATAATAATAACACGTATGGGTCCGACAAAGAGATGACTACTGGAACGGACAGGAAGTAAAGTACTACAAAGGGTCAATACGTGTAACAACCGAAAGTGAAATATATAATTATAATAATAACACGTATGGGTCCGACAAAGAGGATACTTACAATGGACCCAATGCTGGAAAATACCATTAAGTATCATTAAGTACGTAAAGAAATTAATATTTGTATATAGCTTGGACAGACACCATCAGAGTTACCCCTCTAATTAGCTCGTGCGTTTGTATATACTTGCCTTGCCCGCACTCATGTGCTTCGCCCAGAGTACCAATATAGAGTCTATAGGAATCAGCCGGTTTATCTATACAATATGACAAACACACGATAAATCAAAAACTTTCCTTAAAGACGTTTTTAAGTTCCGTAAAAATAAACATAAGGGGAAAAAAAGAAAGACTGAGGTGATACGTAGGCAAAATTTCACTTTTTATTTAAAATTCGACCCACTTAAGAATGGATTACGTACTTGATCTGAAATGGGTAATTCTTTATCAAGAGACGACACAGTTCACGGGAGGATAAACAACGACACAGTTCACGGCAGGATAAACAACGACACAGTTCACGGCAGGATAAACAACGACACATTTCACGGGAGGATAAACGACACAACAACGGGAAGACAGACGACACAGTTCACGGTAGGATAAACGACACAGTTCACGAGAGGATAAACGACTCACGGGAAGATAAACGACACAGTTCACGGGAGGATAAACGACACAATTCACGGGAAGATAAACGACACAATACACGGGAGGATAAACAAAACAGTTCACGGGAGGATAAATGACACAGTTCACGGGAGGATAAACGACACAGTTCACGAGAGGATAGCCGACAATTATTACAACACTTACCGTGTAGGCAATATATCCTTAACCACCACGTTACTTTTTCTTACATTTTTTTTTACACACATAGGTTAGCAAGAAAAAAATATTCTTGGAATGAACTCAACAGAAAAACAACTGGACAGCGAACGGAGATTCAATTCACTGGACTAATGTACATGAAAAAAAAGATAAAAATAACTAAATGAAGAAAGTTTTCGAAAAGTTTATTACATTTAATCAACGAGGTATGTATATTATCATACTTAACAATAAATCCTCCGTAATACATATATTTACAATGTATCAGAAGATACTCGTTGTATGAACTGTATCAATCACTGTATTAACAGTATCAGTCATTGTATTAACTGTATCAGTCACTGTATTCACTGTATCAGTCACTGTATTAACTGTATCTGTCACTGTATCAACTGTATCAGCGATTGTATCAACTGTATCAGTGATTGTATCAACTGTGTCAGTCATTGTATTAACTGTATCAGTCATTGTATTAACTGTATCAGTCACTGTATTAACTGTATCAATCATTGTATTAACTGTATCAATCATTGTATTAACTGTATCTGTCATTGTATTAACTGTATCTGTCACTGTATTAACTGTATCTGTCACTGTATTAACTGTATCAGTCATTGTATTAACTGTATCAGTCATTGTATCAACTGTATCAATTATTGTATTAACTGTATCAGTCATTGTATTAACTGTATAAGTCATTGTGTTAACTGTATCAGTCATTGTATTAACTGTATCAGTCATTGTATTAACTGTATCAGTCATTGTATCAACTGTATATGTCACTGTATTAACTGTATCAGTCGATGTGTTAACCGTATCAGTCATTGTATAAACTGCATCAGGCATTGTATCAACTGTATCTGTCACTGTATCAACTGTATCGGTCATTGTATCAACTGTATCAGTCATGGTATTAACTGTATCAGTCACTGTATCAACTGTATCAGTCATTGTATCAACTGTATCAATCATTGTATTAACTGTATCAATCACTGTATCAACTGTATCTGTCACTGTATTAACTGTATCAGTCGATGTGTTAACCGTATCAGTCATTGTATAAACTGTATCAGTCATTGTATCAACTGTATCTGTCACTGTATTAACTGTATCAGTCATTGTATAAACTGTATCTGTCACTGTATCAACTGTATCAGTCATTGTATCAACTGTATCAGTCATTGTATTAACTGTATCAGTCATTGTATCAACTGTATATGTCACTGTATTAACTGTATCAGTCGTTGTGTTAACTGTATCAGTAATTGTATTAACTGTATCAGTCATTGTATTAACTGTATCAGTCACTGTATCAACTGTATCAGTCATTGCATCAACTGTATCAATCATTGTATTAACTGTATCAATCACTGTATCAACTGTATCTGTCACTGTATTAACTGTATCAGTCGATGTGTTAACTGTATCAGTCATTGTATCAACTGTATCAATCATTGTATTAACTCTATCAATCTCTGTATCAAATGTATCTGTCACTGTATTAACTGTATCAGTCGATGTGTTAACTGTATCAGTCATTGTATTAACTGTATCAGTCGTTGTGTAACCTGTATCTGTCACTGTATCAACTGTATCAGTCATTGCATCAACTGTATCAAGCATTGTATTAACTGTATCAATCACTGTATCATCTGTATCTGTCACTGTATTAACTGTATCAGTCGATGTGTTAACCGTATCAGTCATTGTATCAACTGTACCTGTCATTGTATCAACTGTATCAGTCATTGTATTAACTGTATCAGTCGTTGTGTCAACTGTATCTGTCACTGTATCAACTGTATCAGTAATTGTATTAACTGTATCTGTCACTGTATCAACTGTATCAATCATTGTATTAACTGTATCAGTCATTGTATCAACTGTATCAGTCATTGTATTAACTGTATCAGTCATTGTATTAACTGTATCAGTCATTGTATTAACTGTATCAGTCATTGTGTTAACTGTATCAGTCATTGTATTAACTGTGTCTGTCACTGTATCAACTGTATCAGTCATTGTGTTAACTGTATGAGTCATTGAATTAACTGTATCAATCATTGTATTAACTGTATCAGTCATTGTATTAACTGTATCAGTCACTGTATTAACTGTATCAGTCATTGTGTTAACTGTATCAGTCATTGTGTTAACTGTATCAGTTATTGTATTTCTAAAATGTTGCCGATTATCACACTTTCCTAAAAACAAAATGAGCTAGAGAAACATCTCACCTCTTCACCGCGATATATTGTATAGGGTACGTTTTAAATAAGTATACACATACATCATATATCGATTACAATCGATCATTTTGTGAAACAAACACAAAATGATGTATCAAGGGAGGTAACTCGCTTGGTAATGCTCCAAGGAATATAACTCTTCTTTACCCGTTTAAGAAATAAACAAAATCACGACATAAAAATAATTTATAATATGTAACTAAATGTTCGATTAAAGCCGTGTAGCAAGCATTACAGACTTGAGAAAATGTTATATTATAAAATATGTTAAACCGATGAAGGTAAGCTAAATCCCGTCCTCGATATCCAGGGGTTACGCTCACTTTCGCTCTCTTCACCCCTGGAATATGTCCTAATAAAATTGAAGGCACGAAGATAGCTGTTTAATTGGTTTCGGGTAAAAAAAACTGACCAATCGCTAGTCCTGTCGAATTTTACCGTTACGTGACCACGAGATTCTTTTGATGTACATCAAAGGATCAAACTGGTCTTCTCGTCTCATCTTCCATGTGCTGCACACTGAGCTTTCAATTTTGCTATGACATATTCCAGGGGTGCAGGGAGCGAAAGTAAACGTAACCCCTCGATATCGAGGATGGCTAAATCTGGAAAACTTTTTTAATCATAATAGCTATGAATACGTGCATTTCTTTACAAATAATTCCATTAAAGTTGAATATAATTTCCAATACAGGATCCGATGGAGCTCCTCTACACTTAACTCAAAATTAAACATTTCTACAAATTAAATGTGAAATTCATAATTATTTACATTTGCTATATACATATATAGTAATAATAAAGTTCTTCATTCTGCCAAAGATTATCTATCTTAAACTCACTTTTGATAAATAGACACATTGGTTCTTATCGTTTTAGCTTTATATATTATTTAAATAACAGATAATGTTCTGACTTACGTTATAAAACTGACGTCATACAGAAAGTACCTATTAATCTAGCAATATACAAATATATCTATAGCTGTAGTATTTTGTTATCGAATAAATAGGCAAAATAAACCGAAAAAGTGAACCGGGAATTTCTGCAAGACTTATTGAAGAATACAAATATACAAGAGTTATAGGAGCCTGTTTGATTCGCTTAAAACAGACAAATGATATGTCGGAGTTACTTGAGAACTTTTACTAATTCAAGAAGGAATAAGTATACTGAAGTTCGGAAAACAAATATACCTATATAAAATCTAAAAAAACAAGATAGCATCGGTGTTGCCCCAATAAAAGACGGCACAAGGCTACAAACTGACAGCAGATGTAAAGCTGATTTGCTCAATAAGCAGTTTCAATCTGTGTTTACCAAGGATAAGAACAAGGAATTGCCCCCCTTATCAGGCTCGCGAACACCCACCATGGACAACATAACTATTGATGCCAAGGAAGTGGAAAAACTTCTCGGCAACCTGTCACCAACCAAAACCAGTGGCCCAGACGGAATACCTAACCGAGTTTTGAAAGAGTGTTGTTGTGAACTAGCACCAAGCGTATCCGTCCTATTCGACAATCACTTCGCACTGGCTGCCTACCATCAGACTGGAGAAAGGCTAACATCACGCCAATCTACAACAGGGGTAACCGCCACCTTGCCAGTAATTACCGTCCTGTCTCACGTATCTGAGTCTGTTCAAAACTAATCGAACACGTCAGCGTTAAACACCTCTTCACGCACTTAGAAAATAACAACATTCTGACGGAAGTACAAAATGGATTTTGAACAAAACATTCTTGTGAAACCCAACTCCTTGTCACAACCCAGGACCTTCTTTCCCGATTCGACCAAAAGAAACAAACTGACATGGCTATTTTAGACTTTAATAAAGCCTTTGACACTGTCCCGCACCGACACCTTTTGTTCAAACTTGACCACTATGGCGTTCATCCCGACATCATTCCTGCAGGACAGAACCCAACGTGTACTAGTTGAGGGTCATCATTCAGCATCAGTGCCAGTTGAGTCTGGAGACCCCCAAGGGATAGTACTCGGACCACTCCTCTTCCTCTGCCACATCAATGACCTTCCACTAGCAGTGAAAACCACTGTTAGGTTATTCGCAGACGACTGTCTCCTTTATAGGACGATTAGAACTGTCCAGGATCACTAAGACTTTCAAGAGGATTTAAAATCATTGGAACGATGGACATCAGCGTGGGACATGTCCTTTAACAGCAGCAAATGTTACATCATGAGGATCCATCGCTCAAAATCGCCATCAGCCTTTCGCTACACTCTCGGTGATACCATACTAGAAGAGGTAACAGACAACCCATACCTCGGTATCATCTTCAGCAACACCATGAAATGGTCATCACAAATCACCAAGCTTTCCAACCGTGCCAACTCTACACTGGGATTCCTTCGGAGAAATCTGAAGAAAAGTCCGACGGATCTGAAATTGTGTGCGTTCACGTCCCTAATTCGATCTCTATTGGTGTATAGTTCCACCATCTGGGACCCTTACACGAACAGGATATATATACCATAGAGAAAATACACAGTCGTGCAGCAATATTCATTCTGTCAGATTACCAACGAGAAAGCAGTGTAACATCCATGCTAAACAGACTAGAACTCGAACCACTCAAAAACAAACGCCGTGAACACAGACTAGTACTGTTGTTTATAATCATCACTGGGCTAGTAGCCATACCCGCTGACGTCTACATCACAGTCAACCGTACCAACACACGACGAAACAACAGTCAGAAACTACAACAGATATCGTGCAACACTGAAAACTACAGACAATCCTTCTTCTACGTACACTAACCGATTGGAACGCTCTAAAAGAATCTTCCATTAGCGCAACTACGGTCGACCAGTTCCGTAGTAGCCTCAAACACTAACTTTTACTCCTCCCCGGATTTGATATTCAATTTATGAATGTTATCCGGAACCATATACAGATACAGATACAGATACATGAACCAGATACACATCTTTCTTGACTTGCACAAGGACACGACAAAATCATACATCGGGGTTATTTTGACACGTTCAAGAGCAAAATAATGACAGTGTTATCTTGGTTTATCTTGTAACATTTAAATACTGCAGATATCTTGATATTTTCAAGAACAAAACACTAAAGACGACAGTGAGACACCTTAACCTATCACCTATATACCACATTATACACCTTTATACCGGTAGCATGATTAAACATTCATTATCATGGGTTGTCAGTTTGGAAATACTCGAGAATAATTTGAGAATGTATTTTCTTCTTTTGAAACGTATTTTCTCAAAAAAGAAGTTTGCTCGCTCTATGTGATGTCCTGATTCGAAAATAGTATCAAAACAAAAGTGATCCGCATAAGAAAATAGTCCGTCATAAACAAATCAATATAAAATTAAAAGTATATATATATTTGGAGGATAACGAAGGTTAAGCGAAAAAAGAATGACGATAATATAGTTTTAAAAATGTGCCTCTACATTGCTTTGAAAATGTATTGTTAGTTAACCAATAGTTTATCACACACTATTTTCAGGGTTTGTCGCTCGAACAATATTCTCAGTGCTTGCACGTGGATAACGCATGTCGTGGCCTCTCGATTTTATCCACGTGCATGCGATGAGAAAATTGTTCTCACGACGAGCTCTGAAAACACAGTGTGATAATCTATAATTATCTAGTTCTGTTACATCCATATACCAAATCCATCTTGGCTTTCTCTAAAACAATGTATTGTACTAGAGAAATCTTTACTTTCTCAATAATAACAAAAAAATTGGCTAAATTTCTTGAGATTCTTAAGAACAACTCTAAACCACAGTTACCTTTCAACGTCAGCAAGTACATGTAATATAACAGAAACAACTAGCAGTGTTCATCACTGCAATTGCAATAAATGTTTACATCTTATGATATCTACATACATCGTCGAATATGTCACATAACTAAGTTAGTGTTCTCAATATATAAATTCAACAAACAAGAAAAACATATGTATAAAAGACTGTTTGAGCTGAAATCACAAGCATCTACTTCGTCTGATAAAGTGTCACAGCAGAATATATAAGTGTTGTTCTTTCGTATTCTGCAGTGACTCAGAACACTTTAAATAGCGTTTGATGGATAAACGGCCCTTGAAATAATCAAAACCTCTTAGATATGGTCGCACAGGGTCTTGTTTCTTAACAAAAGACACAGAGAAAATGTCATATAAAATCCTAACATCAAGACGGAAGAGCAGCCTGCTCGGAATCATTTTTTACCCAAACCAATCTCTCTTTTTTTTTTAAACTCACAATTTGGGTGGAATGGAATTGATTACAGATTTGACTTTGTGGAGTGTCAGTTTTAAACTCACGTTTATAATATGCGGGTTTTTTTTTTTGTGCTGTGTAGAATTCGCTATTCTGACGTCGTGAATTATTATGCAGTTCCTCTTAAGCTGAGTATTTCGCAATCGTATCAAGTTCGCTGATTTGAAAATCACTCAGAAAGCATAGTCGATTCCCTTGTTCGATTGACCCAAGTGAATGGATGTAAATAGTCGGCCAGGTACCACAACAAAAGTGTACTTACCGACCGAATATCGAGTCCCATTTACACTTACCTATCTTTTTAAAGAGGAGACAGACCTCCGACCGGAATCGGATGTCGAGGAAGCCATAGATGATGGGGTTAGCCATATTGTTTATGAAGTAGGTCCTGAGAAAGAGGTTGTAAACAATGTTTTGGGTGTCCGAGATATTCCACCAGAAACTGTCGTCCACGGCGTCGAAAATCAAAAGCACGAGATGTGGCAAGAACGAAATCACGAAAACCAACGTGATCAGAAAGAGCATGCACGTGATTTTCAGGGAGCGACGTTGCTTTCGAGACAAACTCACGCTCCGCCGATAGGACGACATTCGCGATCTTAGACTTCCCGTCCGCCTCGTACTGGAATGACACGGTGCATCTTCGTCGTCACTGGTTGACATATTGTGAAGACGCACCGCCTGGAAGGCAATTCTCTTGCTTTCTCTCTGATTTTTTCTTTGTTGATGCATTGCAGATTGGTTGCTTACGAACGAGGTTTCTGTCGTTTTTGTTCTGAATACGGCATCCTCGTCATCAGATATATCCATCTCGAATTGTTCTCCTTGCGTGTTGGCTGCGTCATTATTTTCTGGTATGCCATCTACGTCACTGGTTTTATGATATCTGACGGCCTTGACCCTGAGGCTGGGGTTTTCAGATTCCGACAATGCGATCTGTGTTGTTTGAGGAGAAGTGCTGCCACAGAACTTCCATTGGCTGTTCCGTCTATTTGAGTCTTCCCTCTGAAATGATCCCTGACGCCATATTTTTAGACCGACAAGCACATATAAGACGCTTAAAATCAAGGTACAGCCAACAAAAATAATAAACAAGAATACATTATATATCATAGGCCAGACGGTTTCTGTATATATGTCGGCGATAAAGCACTCCACGCCGCGGACATGCGTTCCCGGAAGTTCTATGGTTGCGTGTCCATAAAGGAAGATATTTGGCGTTGAACATATTGCCGCCAAAACAACAGCCAGTGCGCTTGCAGTTTTGGTTCCAATGTCCGATATTTGCTTTTTAAAAGGCTTACATATTTTACGGTACCGATCTATCGCTATCAATACCAGCACGTAAATCGAACAAAGTAGGGACAACGCCATGATGTAACTAAGTGTTTTGCACGCGACAACATTATAAAATGTGTACGCATGCGTCATATCTATAATGTGATAGGGCATCCCGAAAAGACAAGTGAGTGTATCGAGAATAGCCAGGCACAGAATGAAGGTACGCGAACTGGACCTCCGGAAGCGGAAGGTGTACACGTAAAGCACGACAAGGTTTCCAACAAGTCCGGACACCATCAGAATAACGATATACACAATGATTGGTGTAAGAATGGTCTGTTCATGCCTATTTGCGTCATCCAGTAGCGCCTCGAGGCGAGCTTTAAGTAGGTTGTTCAGTCTTTGTTGTGTGATGTTAGCCATATTGTACGGTACGTACCAAATAAGAAGCAATCTCTTCAATGTTTTGTGATGCTGGTAATGAGAGACAAAAGGTTGCTCTTCATTCAATGCTTGACGTACGCGATATTTGTTAAATGCGACATTGTGACTACACAACTTTTGATCACTCTCGCTATTGTACTGTCATGTTGTGATCTATCTCGGTGTTGTTCGGTAAAGGCAGGTTACTGTTTCCGTAAAGATGAGTTTGCCAATAACTCCCGGTAATCAAAGATCGAATCAACAAAGAATTGATCTGATAAGGTGTGTTATGTCTGACTTTAGTAAATGATACACGCTGTGTTCCTGAATGAACTTACGTGTCATGTCAACGTTTCTAGTACTGGCAGAATCCTCCCTCCTGTCTCAGCTGTTACACTACTCAGCAATTCCTATTGAGTTTCCTGTCAACATTATATTTCACTAAAATCGACGTTGGTTCGGTTGACTTTCGTTCCTTTCACACAAATTTCATCACATCAACATCGAACACCGAACATGTTTTAGCCAGAAACACACTCACTCTGGGTTACCAGCACGCGGAGTGTTTCCATGGACACATATACTTTGTTAAGAAGCGGCATTATCACATTTGCATGCTATTTGAACCAATCAACATTCCTGTATGTGCCGGTACACCACGTCCCTACTTCCCAGAAGGATGTCCGTCAATTGAATGGACGTCCGTTCTTGGCCCGTGATACACAACTGATACCTGTGATTGTATACACCACACTGTCAACAATTCAGATAAATCAACAGCATTCAATGACTTCCTGTGTATATATACATAATCAGAAAAACATTTCAAACTCCTTGTGATGGTTAGATAAATAACAACAAGTCCGGACACCATCAGAATAACGATATACACAATGATTGTAGTAAGAATAAATATATGATGCACGGTACAGTCAAGAGGAGAAAGCGCTAGGGAATTCGAAGAAACTCTTGCCTTTTTTTATATATATATGTATATATCGAGAGCGGAACCTTATTCCTGATAAACACACAAAAGTAATGCAAAAATGAAACGAAGGAAAAAAATGATGTACGAAATAATTATTTATTATAATTCCCACGGAACATTTGACTGCACGGTACAGTAACCTTCGCGTTCCTTTATTCGTCCCTAAAAGACAAAATAGCAATTTGAAGACGAATATCAAACGTCTTCTTGGCATTCTCCTTATTTTCTAAAATAAGATGAACAATTGTATACGTCATCCTTCAAGGATATGTATTTGTCCAATAAGGATTATCACCTTGTGAAAAACACATGAATGATATTTTAGAAATAAATCATGAGGAAACTCGAACAACGCTTGCGGAAGCTTACAATGTGCTGCTCTTGTAAAGATTAACAGATAACATTTATCAATTACATATTTAATAAAACAATAACTTTAACATATACACGTTCATGTAAAACTGTACAACGTTATTGCAGCAGTGGTGGACTTCAGAGAACATCAACAAACACTGAGAGAGTTCTTCCCGATTTATTGTGCATAGTTCCGATTACATTGACATAAATGATTTTACCCTGCAATTATATAATAATTACATTTCAGATATATATATAGGATCTACAGCTCATTTATAACACATATATACATGCAGCACACTTTGAATATACAAGAAGTTGTCAAAGATGTTACATGTACGGCTATAGTTCTATAAACCACAAAAGTTATATTACATATAGATTCACATTATATTTACTTATATTTATACATATGTGATATTGAACATATGATGTAAATCTTATCGTATCTTAACTCAGTATTTTTCGATACGGAGATGACTTAATAAATGGACAAAGAGTACAATAAAGTACATTCATCAATACATTACTATAAGTTTAAAATAGAAAACTGTAACTATTTGTGGAACAGGGCCATTTGAAGTCATACGGAATTATCCGAGGTTTTTACGTGTACTCTTAATTTCTGTATGACAAAGAAAAACGTACATACAAGTAAAATGACGCAGTATATATATACGGTACATATAATAACGAATCAAGAATTAACTAGTATGATCGTATCTATCAATTTGACATAATAAATGGAAGCAGATGATTTAGAATTTGAACTATTAATTTGTGAAAAATAGTAAATTTCTTACCAGTGTCCTGTCTTGTCTGCTTTGTCAAGACGTCATGTAGTCTCTGATAAACATCGTGCCAAAACCACCGGTCACACAAAGAAAACAAAGGAAAACCTGGACCATTGGCTAACCCAACTCAGCATTCTCCTCATCCAGTATATCCGATGATAGGTTGGTAGTTTTCTGAGTAAGAGATGATCTTGGTGCCAGTACAGTTTTCAGTTGAGCGGAAGTGTCGTTATCAGTCCCAATAATTCCAATAAGAAGAAGCAAATTCCTGTGTAAAGTACGGTGGTGTCCTTCTCTGGATTCTTTTCTCACCACATAAACTGGAACATCCTTGTTTGGTCTAGAAATGACGATATATGGATTTCCTCCCATCTATTTGCCAGTTTATGCTTGCCCTCGAATGAAACATAGTTGGTCTTCTGACTCGCTGTTGCCCTCATGGAATGCTCTCTAGCAAGTCTATAGGCTGTTTTTAGACGCTTAAGGTTTCCCGCATAAACTGTAAAAGTCTCTTCGTTTCCATCTTTGATGAAACCAAACTCTATATCCCAGGTAAATTAGGCTCTCTCCCCACAAAAATGGACTCTGTCCCGTTGTTTCATGTCGTGTACAGTTATAAGCACGTGCAATGCTTGCTGTGTCAGCTTTCCAGTCTTTCTAATGTACATCCTCCAACGTTCCAAGCATTCCCAACTAAGTCCTATTGAATCGCTCACAAGCGCCGTTTCCCATTGGGTGGTATGGTGTTCTTTGGGTCTTGTTCATGCCAGTGGTGTTGCATAGCTCCTTGACGATGTTACTTTCGAAGTTCCTCCCTTGGTCAGTATGGATCCGTTTTGGAATTCCGAAATGTGTGATAAAATGCTGTTAAAACGCATCTGCAGTAGTCTTAGCTGTCTGATTCCTTGTTGGTACTGCTACTGCATAATGGGTAAAATGGTCTGTTATCACCAGGATGTTCTCATATCCTCCTTTAGATTTCGCGCGACTCAGATCATCCATACATACTAACTCAAGAGGCTCATGAGAGATAATAGGTACAAGTGGTGCTCTGATATCGGTAGCATTCCTCCTGATGCAACGGTCACATTTCTTGACATATTCCCCAACATCCTTAACTATTTCTGGCCAATAAAACCTGTCTCGAGTCAAAGAACTATTTCGTCATGTAGCATCTTGAGAACCGTCGAACTACAGCTGCTTGGTAAAACCACTTGATCATTGACACCCTCAACAGTGTTGGTAATTCTATGTAGAACTGCGTTCTTCACCTCTAGACGGTCAACATTGCGCAGTTAAGCCAGACTAGTCTTGGTTTGAAGAATAGCCTTCTTCTGTGGCTTCTGGTTGATTTCTACTGCCTGTTTATATTATTGTATAAGATATAAAACAATGTATAGTAATGCACATGCATATTCTGTTTGATATTCCCAGTAATTTTGGGACGAAAGATGAAACAATAAAGACAAAACAACGAGAGTGTATCGTGTTTTGCGAGCGAAAAGACAAAACAACGAAAAGACGAGATGTCTTCCCCGAAAAGACGAGCATTTAAGGTAGTTAAGTAATATACATGTTTTCTTCTTTCACGTGAGGTTTTTCATCTTTTCGGGGAGAAATAGACGAACGAACGAGATTTTAGCAAACTTTTAATATCGTCCTTTAGGAACAATATAAACTCCCTGCTCAATATACATATATAGAATGTAAGAGTTCTCAAGACTTTTATGATATAAAATGTTGTTTACGCCTGTTTTTTTAATTGTTTACTTAATATGCCTTCCGTAAACAATTTAACTCTAAGGACGTCTGATTAAAACAGGATGTACATGTACTGGGTAACATATACATTACATACTGTGTTTTACCCGTGTATCAGGTACATGTAACATACACATAATACCGTTATTTATAAATATTTCAATTCCTCCTCAGGTTCGACTCAATGCAACTACCAAATGTAACCGTTTCATTTACCGATAAATTTGACCAGATTAACATTACCTGTGCGTATGTTTTTGCGAAGGGAGATAACTGTTGACATGATTGTACAGAACTTGTTCAAACAACCAAAAATGATAAATCAGCAAAATATTATCAGCTCACGGTTGCTAGCAGTAGTGACAAGTCATGTACTGCATTAGAAATTCTCCCTCAAGCTACCCATTATATCAACCCCTGGTACAAATCGAAAACAACGTAAGCTTAGATCCACAGGGGTTCGTTACAAATGTCTGAAATACACATATCATGCTATAACTGATAAGGGTCACAGCGCATATACATGTATGTTTGTGTGTGCTGTGACCCATATCATTAAAGACATTGTGTATTAATGTGTGTTTATGTGTGCTGTGACCCATATCAGTAAAGGCATGTGTGTATTTCAGAACATTTTAACGAACCCCTGTGGTAGAACATGTGGTCCCGTCTTATATGAAATACAGTCGAACAGCCAAATGTCATATCAAATGTTTCGTCCTTCAAGCCACGTCTGGTTTCCTGTCTAATTCGACATTCAATTACCACAGCTTCACATTCCAAAAGATTTGAATCTCGAAATTTAACGGCTCTCCACTTCTCGCTAGTAAAAAGATGGCTGCCGTAGACTCGCAGCTGAGCCTGTGCACCGCGTCTAGACATTATTCTTCCGCGATGACGCATCAGAAAATTTGACATCTTTTGAATTCATCAACAAAAACTAAATATGACATTTAATATATGGTTGTGTGATGGTCCTTCAATGACGGACTATATTTTTGACATAACGTCAATATATAGACTTGCACAAGCTCCAGAACCTGGGACAAAACGATCAGAATGGACTTCACAAGTTCCAATCATTGAAAAAAAACACGCTG